GTGGGACATTTTTAAAATTAGTGATTGGTGTGAAATTAACTCAAATCTTGTGAGTGGTGCCACTCTTCGGTAGGTCGTCCTAGGAGTATATAAGAAAGTAAATGAGCAAATCATGAGGAGCAAGCCAGTAAGCATCAGTCCTTTGTGGTTTCTGCATCAGATCCTGCCTCCAAGTTCCATCCTTGAGTTTCTGACTTCACTTCAGTGATGAACTGTGATGTGGATGTGTGAGCAAATTAAACCCTTTCCTTTACAAGTTGCCTTTGGTCATGGTGTTTCATCACAGCAATAGAAACCATAAGTAGGTACCCAATGAATTGTTCCCATTCATTTCTGTCAAGCCAAACATATTTACCTTTATCTTGATACTTTCTATAGGCATGTTCCTTTCCTTTTTATCCTTAGCATCTGGCTTGTGGATAACTCCTAATTTTCTCCCTACTATTTTCCTTAGTTTCCTTTGTATATATTAGTTATGCTCACCACATAAAATATTGGGAGTTTTAGAGATTGTTTTCTGGACTCTTACACATACTTCTGGAACAAAAGAAGCACTTTTATGTCTTATTTATTGTAGACAGTGTCTTACTGTGTAGCCCTGGATGACCTTGAACTTTACATGTAGACCAGGCTGCCCTCAGAATCATAGAACTCTACCTGCCCTGCTTCTTGAGTGTTAGGATTAAGATGTATACTACCATGCCTGGCTGTGTAGTAAATTACCATTTTCACTACCATCTTTACAGTGGAATTGATGTACATTTATATTACTCTCCATGGACTGCTGGATAAACTGACTATTACGATTTAATCTAGAAACCCCAAGCTTATCAGCTACTTAATCTAAATAAATCACAAAGTGCTGGTTTTTCAAGGTTGTGGGCAGAAGTTTTTTCTCCTGCCTACCTGTTCCCAAATACCCAGCAGATGCTTCCCAAATTGATTTGGAGACTTAATATTACTTATAAATGCTTATCTGGTATCTCAGGCTTATTACTAACTAGCTCTTACACTTAAATTCACCCATAATTCTCATCTATGTTTAGCCACGTGGCTTGGTACCTTTTCTCAGTGCAGCATTCTCATCTTGCTTCCTCTGCATCTAGCTAGCAACTCCTGACTCTACCCTTCCTCTTCCCAGAATTCTCCTAGTCTGGTTGCTGCGCCTATACTTCCTGCCTATCTACTGGCCAATCCTTTTATTAAACCAATTTGAGTGACAAATCTTTACAGTGTACAAGAGCATTATCCCACAGCACAAGGCACTTGTTTTTAATGTGCTGTTGTGTCTACTCATTATATCCTGCTCCTGTTGCTGAACTTCAGCCATCCTTCTTTTTTGTGTTATTACAAAACCTTCTGACTCTTTGGCCCTAGTAACTTGGGTCCTCTCCAGCCTTTAATTATAACTAGTATTATCTTAAAATGGAATTTGTATTCTAAGCCCACACTCCTTAAAGCTTTGAATGGCTCCAAGGCACCTTCAATTAAATTAGTCATGGCAACCAACCTTCTGCCATGAACAACTTTGTCTTTTTGCCAAACCACACTATTTATCTTTTCCCATCCCTCTGCTTGTGTATGTTTTGCTATCTGCGGAGAGTTTTCTTGTTGATCTGTTACTTTCAACAGTAATACCTAAAGAAGTGTCAACATAGAAACCACAACCACAAGGATTTGATTGAGAAAAATTAAGAAATGGGATCTATCATCAATCCAGCTGTGATACACAATAAAGGGAAATAGTAATATGGAAGTAGTGACACTAGACATTCTAGTTTTTCAGGTCCCTTGACTAAATTTGGACTCACGTATAAAATTAATACAACTAGCAACTTCAAAATTTTGAACCTGGAGTTAAATGTCATGTAAGCATTACTCAAAAGAGCCATTCTGTAATATGAAAGAACAAGAACAAAAACATCAAACTAAACAACCTCAAACTGATGTTTTGGAAAAGAGCCCATTTTGAAAGTTAATTTACAGGTCATTGGATAAATTCAGAGACCTGGTAATGAGTTTCCAGCATATTTAGGACGAACCTAATAGTTTGGTAGACCAAGGCAAATTTCAGCCACATTTTTCTCTTTTTGTCTGTTTTGAGACAGGATTTCTCTGTGTAGCCCCGGCTGGCCTCCAACTCAGAGATCTGCCTGCCTCTGTCTCCTGAGTGCTGGGATTAAAAGCATGTGCCACCACTGCCTGGCTTCAGCCACATTTTTCTATCCAAATAGTGACAGTTAAGAAGGCAGGAACAAGGAGATACTGAACAACCCTGGGGCTGACAAAGCTGCAGAAGGAGGCCAACAAATGTTAGTTGGCTTTTGTTTGTTTTTTTTCAGTGAATTTTTTTTGTTGGTGGGGGCAGGGTACTATTTGTCAAACAAATATTGAGCTTTTTAAAATTCCATCACTCTGGATGCTGGGAGACAATAGTTACAGAAGAGGAAGAGGGAAACAAGTTAAGGCTTTTGCAGAAATCCAAGCGAGAGATGTTGCTGGCTTGGCCTGCTGTGGTGGTGTTGCAGATCATAAATGGTCAGATTAGATTGTGAAGTTGCACCTATAGAATTGATGGTAGAGTGTGGTAGTAAAATGTTTGGGGAAAATTGCAGAGGAGAAGATTTAAGAATGAAAAAATAGAAAGTATAAGTTAATTTAGGATCTTCATTAGACATCTGAAGGATGTCTTGAGTTTAAGGGAAATGTCAGTTCACATTTAGGAAAGGTAGGATACTTTCAAATTTTGGTGTTGAAAGGATGAGGAGCCAATCGAAGACTGAAAGGTGCAGTGTCAAATAGGACAGGAGAGTTGTGTATGAAGTCTCACTAAAAGCCCCTTGTTTCAAACTCATGTTGCCCTGTTTTCCTCGATGGTTTACTTCCAAATTAAAATGTACTCTTAAGGGAATGAGCAGCTGTGCTATCTGTTGCTGATAATGTAGAAGCTTGCCTAAAATGGGATTTAAAAAATATTAGGACCAAAGAAAGGGCACACAAGTTTAAAGAAGTCTGTTTTTATTCTGGAGAAGAGAATGGGATAGTAAACATTGTTTTGTTTTGTATGTGTGATTTCCTTTTTAAAATGGAATGTGTTTGTAGATGCAGTAAAGAGAAAATTGTACTGTCCTAAGTGACAAGGCTATAAGGATCTGTATCTACAGTAGGTCCTTTTCATGTGAACTCTTGGTTCTTTTTGGACAGTCAGTATTTCTAGGTCTGTCATACAGTATGCATTCACTGTTGGTTAGTGGGTCTACTTTTAATTTAACAGTACTAGGGGAATGGTAAGTATAGTCTATCTTGGGGAAGTTTATAGCCTGTGGTGAAAGAAAACAGCACAAACTAATGAATCCCAATTACAGAAAATAAATGTAGACAACTCCCCACACCCCAACTATTGTCATATTATGCTCAAAGATTTGGTTACATTGAATAATTCAGAAGTGGTAGAAACTCAGTTGGTTGTGATGGGTGTTTATAAACTTGGTAAGGAAGGAAAAGTAAACTTTGTTAGGTAACTTGGACAAATTAACGGAGTAGATAAAAGGACAGGTATTGGCACAAGACATCCCAAGACAAAGTTATCAGCACAAAGGAGTTTTTTTTTTTTTTTTTGCCTCAAAGGGACTAAGAGCAGGGAATAAGAGAAAAAGACAGGAGACAGGAAAAAGGGAAAAGGAACGAGAAAGGGGATATTTGTCCTGGAAGATAGAGAAGAGACAAACGAGGGCCATATGCAAATGGCAGTTTATAAAGGTAAGAGGGGAAACATGTTAGGATGAGGTGTTTAATTTTGATTGGGCATGTTAAATTAGGTGAGCCAAAAGGGGGCTTTTGATTGCTGGACTTCAATACTTTGATAGCTGGACCTTGGTAGTCGGCCTCAGGAAGTCGCCAAATAAAGGAATAGACCTGGTGGCTAGCTTTAAGAATGTAATCTAGGCAGGTGGTGGTGCAAGCCTTTAATTCCAGCACTCAGGAGGCTGAGGTAGGAAGATCTCTGTGAGATGAGATCAGCCTGGTCAACAAAGCGAGTTCTAGGACAGCCAGACCTGTTATACAAAGAAACCCTGTCTCAAAAAACTAAAACTAATTAATTAATGAATTAATCCAACAGTTTTTAGCAAGAAAGAGGGAATGGGGGAAGGCCTGCCAGAGGCCATGTTTGCCATGTTTGGGCCTGCTAGCCCCTTCAGTAGGTTATTAAGAGAACAAATAACCCTTAGGATTTGAAGGAATTAAACATTATCAGTTTTCATTCAATACCATTGTTGAACCCATTTATCAGCTTTTACCTGAAACGGCAATGAGATCATTTCCAAGTTTACAAAAAGGTAGAAAGACATTTGTTGTAATGCGGGCAGATTGTTTTTACTTGTACATACATGAAGGTGAGCAGGGAGAATAAAGGCAGTTGTAAGGAGGAATAATTATGAGCAAGACTGATGCAAAACGCTGACAGCCTATCTGTAAAATACGCGCACGTCTGGCAACTGCAGTCATCGAGTGTAGTGTCCTGCTAATCTGAAAAAGCAAGACGCAGTTGATATTTGTGTTGAACCTCAATTAAAAATATACTCCCCTCTTTTCAGCATTTTCCCGGGCTCATAATGAAGCCAGCCAGTTCCACACTCGGGGAACACAGGAAGCGCTTCCAGCAAGTGGAGTTTATACCTTTGGACACCAACATTGCTTTTTCCAGTATGTTCTCAGCACAAAGACTAACGCTCCCCACTTTCATCTGTGGAAAACAAACCCCCAAACTGGACTGTATCTGTGTTGAGGAGCTTTTGTATTTTTAAGCTTGCACGATATAGCTTTGACATCCATTGTTCTTTCAGTCTGTAAACAGCGGCTCAAAGGCCTTCTCAAAAGACAAGGTAGTTTCCGGAAAGTCTGGTCTCCTACTGACTTCAACAAAGAGTGAAGTGCTGCAGACATCACGCCTCTCCGATCGCAGACGGCGGCGTTTGCTTGCTTCTAGCCCTAGTTCAGGGCCGGGAGCGCTGAGACAGGTGGTATAGATGGACCGGAAAGCCCGTGCCGGGGAGGCGGGGTTGCTAGAGCGGCTGTTCTCAGCGGCCGCTCTGGCTCAGTTTGCTTTCTCTATGGTCTGTTGCGCGAGCCCCTCCTCCTCCTCCCCTCCTCCTCCTCCAGGAACGAGCGCTTATTCTGGACTCACGCGCAGAGCCAGGAGGGAGTTCCGTTTCCGGCCTGGTTTCCGGTTTTTGGCGTTCAGTAGTCGCGGTTGGTGGGCAGCAACTGAGCCAAGATGTTGCGGAATCTGCTGGTAGGTAGCTTTTGGGGGTTGGCTGATGCTGGGGTGTCGGGGCGGAGGCTCAGGGACCCCCGGCAGAAAGCTGTACTGGAAGTGGAGCAGAAGGCAGACGCGGGAGATGAGGGAGTCACCTTGGCCGTCCTTTCCCCCTGACCTTTCCGATTTCTCTCCCCTGGTTGTTGCAGGGTAGACGTAGAGGGAAGGGCATGATCAAACTTGCTTCCCTAGTCACTACCGTTAACTGGAGACTATTGATAAGATTGTAGCTTTGATGTAGGCTCCAGTGGGTGGGTGGGTGGGATTTTTGACACCTGGAAACACTTTTTGTTATTTTGTTTTGTATCTTAGTGGGGTTTTTTTTGGGGGGGGTCTTTTTTTTTTTTTTTTTTTT